AAGCCATAAAAGATGTTCTTCGAAGTCGCGTGGCGAATTAAATTTCGGACAAACATCACTGCCTATACAAGAAGAAATTTGACGAAACAATTAGAAAAATGAAGAAATTTCGAATATCGATCATTCTTATTAACTCACCGAATAGATATGTATCCTTCCTAATTGCGACATTAGATTCATTTTCCCTGACTCGCTCGAACAATTGGTATCCTTTCGGAAGAGAGGTCAACATCGCTTTAAAAAGAAAGCATCATCAGTAAATTACCACAGTATAAATATTGGGACGTTCTGAAGAAATTTTTGCGTACGCTTTGTTACTTCCGCACCGGATCCTCGCAACGCATTAGCCAACGATTCTCCGAGTTTTGTTAAATATAACTCAATTTTGCTTTCGATCGGATGATAATAAATCGTTTCACCGGAAGGATTTGGGATCCGCGTGGTATCCGGCCATCTGGATGCATCGCCGTCAGTGTCTGTGACGGTGAGTCCATCATCGGACACAATAACATTAACGAAATTCCTGTTCATTACGAGTTAGTCAGTCAAAAAAACTTCTTGACAATCAACCTATTTGAAAAAAAATTGGTCGCAGAAGTACAATAAGAATATATATACTCAAAAGAAAATCAGAATTCGGTAATTATGACTGGTCATATATTTACGTCACTACGTGAATCATCACATTTATAGAAGAAAGCTTTACGTCAAAATTAGTAAAATTAATCATAAAAAAAATGCATCTCAAAGTTCATCTTGAGAAATCACGTGTACATATAAACACAAGTCGTGAAGCATTAATGAACGTGTACGAAACTGATTTATTTTAAAAATTTTTTTTTTATTTTATTTGTTATTTCAATGAAGAATATTTTATTCTACATAAAAATTCTATGATCACACGCTGATTTGTTTTGAATTAAATATCTATTCTAAAAAAAAAAGAAAAAGAAAAACATTTTCAAATCTTTCTCTATTGATTTGGTTAAAAAAGTGTTGTTATGGTTGAAGGAAATATCAAATAGCGTAAAAAATGAATTTTTTTTTCTTCACGTGAAAAATTTTATGATCTCCGTGAAAAGATATCCAGTTAACTAGTAAGCAGGATTGTATGCTGAGACCCAGCCGCAATT